GGTTTAAGCACATTTGTTTACCAGGTATTCAAGTTAGAGGAAACTTTTTAAACAAAGGAGAAAATAAACATAACCTACTGTAGCAAGATTGCTTACTTTAGTTACTTCAGATATATTTTTGGGTAATAGGGCAAAATTCCAAAAAGCATCAAACAAGTTCCTTCTTTTTTGTGAGAATACACAAGAGAGCACAGCCTTTGGAGTAACCGAAATTCCAACTCAAGCCCTAGTTTTTCCCACAGACTAAGTATCTCAAACTGTAGGCATTTAAATGGTATATGTTTCTCACTAATATTTTGTTGCTACTCTTAAGACACTTAAAGCAGTAATCAAGTTCCAGACTATAGTATGACTCCAAACGTTACTCATAACTGTTGTGCTCCAAAATAAGTTATGCAGGTTTGTTGGCACCACACAACAGAGCTATAATGTAACTTTACTTCAGCCTGGAAATAGATTAAAATAATGACAATTAAAAAAAAATTAAAAACTTACTTGTAACCTGAAATTCCTTTGTGACACGTTGCCTGAAAGTGTCCTCTACCCAGTGCCCTGAATTGTCTCATAACTAAGGAACAGGAAAACAAACTGACCCTTATTTTTGTTGCAATTGCAAAAGGAAAAAAAAAAAAAAAAAAAAGAACTAGCTATTTAAGCAGAGGTGAAGGAAGGAGTGTGACGCAGAACACAGATCATATATCTGGAAGAGCTCCTAAAGAGAGAATTCTGTCCCTTAATTCCCTGCAAGTCCTCTTCTCCTGGTGGACGGTAGTATGTCAGAATGAACCTAAGGAGGCATGCAAATTGCATCAAAGATCAAATACGAACAGTGCATTCTGTCAGGCATTTTAATGAAGGTACTGAATAAGCAAGAAATAACAAACAAAACTAAGGAAATTAAAATAAACAGAAGGTTTTGGTAAGTCAGAGGGTGGAAAGGAAATAAATCTATCAAAGCCAAAAAAATAAGCCATTATATCTTAATAGAACCAGTAACAAGAGTTCCATATGATCAACTTACCTATTTCACAGATCCATTTATGCATTTTAACCTCATGCAAGTCAAATCTCACTTTTGGATACGGGCTCCCTGTTTACTGAGTCAACTAATACATTAGATAGGTGGAAGCATATTCTATATGGCTGCTTTGCAATTAAGCAAAAGAACCCTGCAATTGCTGTGTTCGGGTTTTTTTTTTGTCCTTTCCTCCTCTCCCCTCCCTCCCTTAAAAAATGAAGTAGATAATACATAAATATTCATTTCCATCAAATTCATTATCTCTGAATTTAGGACATACTTTATCAGAGTGGCCAAACTGAAACGCTGTGTGTGTACTCCAACTTTTTCTCCCCAAATACGTGTATAAAAGCATATCAATAATCCTTGAACTCTGAGTACAACTTAGGTACTGGGAAAATAAGGCCTGATTCTTCCTTCTTTCCCTTCCTTACCCCTGCCACCTCCTCCCCAAATCTATCCTGTAGTCCCACCTGTTCTCTGGCTATGGTTTCAGTCTTACATTGCTTCTAAGTTTGAAGAGTGAAGACACAGTGCCACAGCAGTTTGACTAAGTTATTGCCGCTATACTATTAGAGCAACTCCATTTCTACAGCTCGTCTTTTATTAAAGACTGGGTATCAGCTTATGATTCCATCTCCACACATATGGTTTTAGTATCAGTAGATAAAAGATGACACAGCAGTATTAATGACCAAGGAACGGTTAGAAACAAGGGCAACCCTCACAAATGCTTTCAGATTTATGTCTGTAAGAGCATTTAGGGCCATTTCTACACGTAGTCAATAATTTGAAGCTACAGTTTAACAAGCTAATACTTTCTCATCTACTGATTTGCTTTGCCTGTACTGCAGTCAGTTTCTTAGCTGTTTTAACCTAAATTTTACAACCGTTGATGAAGAAAAAGATGTGCTAGACTGTGCTACTATTGTTTCAGAGGGATCGTATTTTAAAATCTTTTATTGAAGGCAAGGGACACACTGTGTCACTGGAGTGCTTTTGATCCACGTATTCCCTTCACTCAGCTCTAAAGGAATAGGCATATTCTCCCTCTATTGACAAAAACTTCAAGGAAAGAGATCTTTTATCTCAATCAAAAGAACAACAGGATGTGCCCCTATATATACACACAAACACATAGAACAACAACAAGGACTCAGTATAGGAACAGAGCTTGTTGTGCAACAGTCAGGAATTCAAGCCAACAATTTCCAAGGTTATCTTTGTCATGAAGACATCCTTATTTATTTGAAACCAGCATGCATTTCAGTTGCCAGCGTAATCAACCACTTTTATTGGCAAGCACATTCAGTAGCAGGTTTTGAAGGCAAGCCTGATAGGGTGTAAGATATGAAACTAGGGTTCAAGTGCTTACATTCCACTCTTTTGTGAAACTGATATTTAAAAAAGAAAAAAAAATCCATTAAGACCAATCTTAAATGTTTTCTTCTTACTCCCTTGCAAGTTTGATATTTGAGAATACTTGCAGATCTGCAATTCCATTGCTTCCCCCCTCCCTCCCCCGGAATACAGCTATTTCAAGACCACTGCACCTAAAGCACTGAAAAGTCAATGTCAATCATTAATGGATACACAAATTGAAGATGAAGCCCAGTATGCTCCTGTGTTTAACTTACTTTCAAACCAGAGGAGATTAATCATATGGAAAATTGGAAACTGCCCTTTTGAGAAATTGCATTGTGTTCTAAAGGAGTAACTGGATGACTGCATACATGTTTTAGAGCTTTTCAGTTGTTACTTGCATTCTCTTGGATAAAAGAAAGTCTTGCCACCTCATATCATAAGCATTAATGATGCCCTTAGAATTTGCTTTTAATCACAGGCTTGTCAAGCTATGCTAAATTAACATGGGTCAACAGACGTGTTAGGCTATACTAAAAGCAGATTTTCAGGTCACTTCTCTGAAGCCTCGTTTAACACTTCCCTTCCCATGCCCCAGACTGAACTTTCCCTGCAGCAGTCTCAGTGGTGCCAAGCAGCTCTGAAACATTCCTGAAGAATGTTATCTTGAAGAAATTGCCTGACTTATGCTGAGAGGAGATACACAACAAGTCAGGCAATGAAGAGGAATTACTGTAACAAAATTAACACGTCGCATTCCTTCTCCCCTGCCCCCCCCCCAGTAATGTTTTCCCATAAATTACTTGCAAGCTTGCCCAATCACAAGTGTTAGTACATTACTGTAACTTCTAATGACTTCCAGGCTTTATCAATTCCCCTGGTATGAATCAACAAACACTAAATTCAGATATTAAGGCATTAATGAAAAAACCAAAAAAGTGGTAAGGGAAATCCATGTAATGGTAGAATATCAACATTCTCTCTCACGATTGATCTCTGCAGCATTTCAAGTCTTGTTTTTCAGCTAATCCTCCTGCAGACAAGCCAGACTTAAGTCTGTGGAAGACATGTTCACACTGTTCAACTCTGTGACATAAATTATGCAAAAAATCTATTTAGAGACTTTAAATGTGCAGAAGGGAGCAGAGATATCAGAGCAGGATCATTTGAAGCTGTTAAAACATAACAAAATTGTTTGTGTATTGACAGGCTACTGGATTGATCCTTTGCAGTTATTAAAGATGCATCCTTTTGGCTACTATAGAGTAAAAATGCATTTGCTTACTAAAAAAAAAAAAAATAAAAATTAAATCTTTAGAATTGGAATTTCAGAAGAAACGTACCTATAAAACATTACTATTTCAGAAGGCTGCCTGAAACCTCTGAAAACAGCCAAAAGATACTACTGTACTGTCTAAAGTTTATGCTTGAACAGCCTTTTGAAAGACACATTTCATTTAACCAGAAGACTCCATTATCTTCTAATCCTGGAAGTTTTATTTTTGTACTGAAATTTTCCATTCTTGATAACAGTCCAAGGAAGACATTCATATAGAGTTTGAGGAAAGTACTTTCTTCCCTATAATTAAAAATAGTTGAACTCAGATATTTCCCAAAACACGCACAATAGAATCTTTCTCTTAATTATACCTCCAATAAAACTTGCACAACAGCTAGGGTAGAAAACAAAACTAAATCCACTTTCTATTAAATAAACACTAATGAATGGTATGTCATGAAAGTGCACAAAGTACATCTGCATAAATAAAAAAGTATTTTCATCCTAAGTTATTAGAATTCTTAAATTACACTAGAGTTCTGTTGTTCCGTCTTGCTGGAGAGTTAATTGCTTCAGTTACTATCAGTTTAACTCCCCAGGCAAGGGAAGGAAAGGAAAAATAGAGAAAGGTTTTTCAGTGTGGATAAACTAAAAGGCTAAAGCAGCTTACTCATACCAGAACTATGATTCACTACAGCTTATCTTATAACCTCAAAAGCTGAAGTGCATGCTTTCTACTGAGAATCCAAAACCAGAGCAGCAGATTCACTTCTATTTCCTAAAAGATTTAAAAGTTGATCAGTTTTCATGAAATAAGGAATAACGATAAAATGAGAATTTGAGTTACTTCCCTCCTCCTTCCCAAAGCAAAAGGCATGTCCACGTGCCATATTCCTTATTGTTTTGAATGCTGGACCGTACTCCACAAATCTCTACCACAAAAAAGGGACTGGGCTACAAATCACTGTATGTGGGAAAAAACACTACAGTGAAGAAGCTGAGGAAAGACTGTTAAACCATAGCCATGTGAAGATAAATTAAAAACTTCAGGTTATTAAGTCCTACTGAATCTGGATTAAATGGTGGAGCGTATTGACACCACCTATCTTGTACACTTGTTCAGAATACCTGCCACTTCCAATTAATTTCTACTTTTACTTTACTTTTGTGCAGAGGGAAGTAGCTTTATTCTCCAAAACTACTTTGTATGTATATATATATAAAACTGCTAACACTGATTGTTGTTACACTTTGATTACAGCGAAACAAGAGAAAAAAAAGATAGTGGAGTTAACTCCTTGTTTTGCAAGAGGGTAAAAAACCCGCCTGAACACAGAAATCATGAGAGATCGCCTTCAAGAGCTTAAACTGAGAGCTAAGGAACTACAGATAGCTGGAGAAAACAACAGTGCAACTGTACAAGAAGAAGAGCAGGAGGAGTTTGAACAGCAGGCCATTATTTATGAACAAGAGCCCATAACTGAAAGGCACTTGCATGAAATCCAGAAGCTTCAGAATGACATCAATAATTTGGCTGAGGAAGTTCATAAATTCAGTCAACAACAAAAAAGCCTAGTATCTTCAATGAGGAGATTCAGTGTTCTTAAAAAGGAATCTAACATAGCACGAGAAATAAAAGTTCAAGCAGAGCACATACGAAAATGTTTGGATGAACTGTCAAAAGCAGTGAAAAAAGCTGAAAGTGAACATGGGCCATCACGTGCCACAGTAAGAATTCTAGCTTCCCAGCACGCTTTCTTATCCCAGCGTTACCTAAATGCTATGCTCTCGTACAATGATGCTATAACTGCTAAGCAAGAGAAATGCAGAAGATTTATTCTCCGTCAGCTTGAAGTAGCTGGTAAAGAAGTACCTGAGGAAGAAGTCAATGACATGCTGCAACAAGGAAAATGGGAAATTTTCAATGAAAATCTACTCACTGAAGTCAAAATTACCAAAGCTCAGCTTTCAGAGATTGAACAGAGACACAAAGAACTAGTTACTTTGGAGAACCAGATCAAAGACTTAAAGGAACTTTTTATCCAGATATCAGTTCTGGTGGAGGAGCAAGGGGACATGATCAACAACATTGAAATCAGTATGAACAATACCCAAGAATACATTCAAGTATCTAAAGAAAAATTTGGGCTTGCAGTTAAATATCGAAAAAGAAACCCTTGCAAAGCATTATGCTGCTGGTGTTGTCCATGCTGCAAATGACAAAAGAAATAAACTGCTTGAAATACGAATGGCTCCTATTCAGTAAGCTGGTATTATAAAGCAGTGTCAGGATCCCTTGATTGCTTAATTTTTCTTCCCATTTCCTTTTCCACAGAGTTCTCAGGAAAAACTGCATGTATTTTTCCAAATAGACTTAGAAGAATGGAAAGAATGATTTTTTTTGCACAGAAACACATGAACTAGGGGAAAGGATTAAAGGACACAAGTGTCACTTGTTTGTTCTTCCACTCAAACTAAAACAATGTGGCAACAAACTACCTGTGCTTTTGAGAAGCACTGAAGATATAGTTCATCTCAAAACCAGGGTTCATAATAATGGTTTAGTTTACCTTTTACAACATAATAATTAGTATTTTTAATTGCCTTAGGGGATTTTAGCAGCCATATTTACTTGGTTCAAAACTAAGGGGTTTTCATTCCATGAATCTGAAATCCTACCAAAAAAATTCTACACATATAGGTTTCTGCCCTGTACTCCACCTTTTTTGGAACTGAATGACAACTCTAACACAATTCAACAGAAAATAATAATTGAACTGAGACAAAATAGTTATTTCGAAAAAGAAAACTGCAACAACATACCATGCCAAACCCAAACATCAAACCAGGAATGTATTTCTGAACTCCTTTATGCTGTGCAAAGACACAATCAATACCATTATATCTGGGTACAGTCAGAGAAGTCAGAGCAAATTGCACTGCAATTCTGCCAGACGCTAAGTGATGCTAGATGTCTTTAACTGCATCTAGTAAAAGGAAATAAATTTAAAAAAATCAATCTACTATCAAAAGGCACTACTGAATTACTTTCACATTGCAGTATTTATAAATAGTTGGATTCCCCCCATCCCGGCTTAAAATTTCAACTGAAATTACTATATGTTATCAAAGTACAATCAGAGGTCTGAACCTTAAAGTGAAAAGGATTCTTGAGACAGTAATGACAAAATTAAATAATGCACCACTGATACTATTCCATTACATAATTTCCCTTAACTGTGAAGCTACCTTTATGTTCCAAGGGCAGAAACTAGCCAAAAAGCAACACAGAAAAAAAAGTTGCCGGGGCCAACATGCCCCTTCTTATGCATGTATGTATTTAAGTATATAAATGTATGTAATACATACAGAAATATGCACTACACAGAAACATCACCCCATCTTCTTTTCCTGTTTTTACTTTTAGAAAAAAACAAAGGTACATAACCCTTTCCTTCTCTCCTGGTCCCTTAAACAAAAAGGTGTTATGGTACATCTGTGAAGGATTATTGCAGTCAGGACTGCAGAAAAGAAAACAAAAATACAACAAACGCCACCTGTTTACACGGTATCCCCCATGCAGGAGTGTTCACACAGGCATCCTCATCTGAGGGAGAAATGTGTTCCTGCGCTAGCCCTTTCTCTTCACACAACAGATACATTTCTTTGAAGTAAACTTGGTCTTGTTGAACAAGAGCTGTACTTTTAAATCCTGGAGGAAAACTTGAGTTTCACTAATACTCAGGAGGACGGCTGCCTACACATAAACATAGTAAATAATTCAAGTAGGTTTAAGCTGTATATTGGTTAGAAATGGCAAAACAGAAACATATGTAACACACTGCAGAAGAACTGAATAGAAAGAAAACCAGAAAGACTTGTGAAAGTTTCTTCTTAATACGAGATGCTATCAGCTGAAAGCAAACAGAATTAACTACAACTTACAATATCAGGAGAATTGGATATTGAGCATTCAAAATGTTAACAGCAGAAATTTTGCAGTAATCATTAAAACAACTTTCCAGCAGTTGCTTGGGTTTTTTTAGTTCCGTAGTTATGCAGGAAAGCAAACACATTAAAGCAGAGCTGCTAGACTTCTAATAGGAAATGTGAAATACTAGTATCTATAATCCCTCATCGCCAAAATAACATGTAGAAATTAACTTTCTACTACAAAAAGTACCCACGCAGCAATCTCTCTGGCATAAAAATATCAACCATAGCATGTGGACTTTTATTTCCTCTTAAATGTATTTCATGTCAAAGTAAAAAAAAGGCAAAAGAAAACCAAAACAAAATTTGAACTCGTATGCCTGTATACACCTTGAATATGCTGACAGAAGAGTTGACCCATGAACGTAAGACCTGCAAGAACTCTTGCTTTCTACAGTTCAATTTCCCCAAACTGATAATCTACTTAAGCACCAGTGTTAAACAAGGCCTACATGAGCAAAGCAAACATGAATTAAGTAGCAATACAGAACAGTAAAAAAAAAAATTGCCAAATATGAAGTTTAACATTTTTAAGTAATTTGTGCCAGGAGTCAGTAACAGCCAATATCATCAGCATGTTACGAGAACTGTCTTAAAATGATACTGTGATACCTCCATAGGTGGTGATTGATACTAAGACGCCACAGTACCAACTCAATTTGAAGCAAGTATCACGTGGAAAAATATCAGAACTCTTATATTCCCATATTACTGTAATATAGTGTCTCATACCAATCTTATGCCCACATTGCACAATACAGTCTATTCTTTCTCCAAGCTATTGGGCCTCCACTTTTCCCTGAATCTGCTAAGGCTTGCTATCCACTCCTCTGTCAGGGAGGACAAGGAGCAAGAGTTGTCCTCATTTTTACTTTTCTTATGGCACACCATAATACAATCAATTGGCATGGAAGAAAAGATGGCAAAAAAAAGAGAAGGCCACTGACTCCAACTCAACTTTGCTCTGTAATAAAGAGTGCATCTCATACTCTTTAGTAATCTTGCTTTTCATTATGAAATGAGACCCATCTACCCATAATTCATATGCAGTGATACAAATTGACATTAATTCTCAGTACATTTCAGAAAAGACTGTTGCTTGTTTTGGCAGATGTAAAGCAAAATAGGAAAAACATGCCGGGGAAACATTCTATTTCTAGTCAAAAAAATAATAGAAATACTGGGAAAAATTAACATTAAAAAAAAACCCAAAACAAAACAAAAAAACATGCCCTAAACAGATTTACCAAACAGATTTTCAACTTTAAGTAAAGAAGTTATTTAAATGTTACTATCAGAGATGTTTTTACTGTAGTGAATCAGACCTCACAGTTCTAAACAACATTATCTTTTTACAGGAAGAAGCATACAGTTACCTAAATTAGGAATATGTCATTTTCTTTTATAAATCTTTGAAGAGAAGGGATGTTTAGGTGAAGGAACTTCATGATTCAGCATGATTTCCTGCATGACATTCTTGTTTCTAAACTAGAGAGACATCAACTTGATGGATGGACCACCTGGTGGATAAAGAATTGGCTGGATGGCCACACGGAGAGAGTTGCAGGCAATGGCTTAATGCCCAACTGGAGACTGGTAACAAGTGGTGTGCCTCACAGCAGCCTTCCACTATCTGAAGGAGGCCTACAAGGATGCTGGAGAGGGACTCTTCATCAGGGACTGCAGCGATAGGACAAGGGGTAACGGGTTTAAACTTAAACAGGGCAAGTTCAGGTTAGATATAAGGAAGAAGTTCTTCACTGCGAGGGTGGTGAGGCACTGAAACAGGCTGCCCAAAGAAGTGGTAAATGCTCCACCCCTGGCAGTGCTCAAGGCCAGGTTGGACAGAGCCTTGGGCGGCAAGGCCTAGGCTGAGGTGTCCCTGTCCAAGGCAGGGGGGTTGGAATGATCTTCAGGTCCTTCCCAACCCTAATTATTCTATGATTCTAAGATGTATTTTACCTAGTATATCACATCAAAATCTGCTTGCCTGAGTAGAAAAAGGTTTTTTCCCCCACTACTTTTTCAGATCATTTTTGCAAGGACAGTTAGCTCCTACAATAACTGCTTACCTATATCAAATTCAGACAGTTAGAAGAGAGACTAAAACTAGTTATAATTCATTCACTTCACCTATTCTCAAAAGGAACAGACAGCTGAGTGCTTGCTGCACCACAACAAGACACAGGATGTGCTCAGCCAGCCAGAGATGCTGAATGGATGAAGGGAAGAGAAGGAAAAATAGGGTAAGACTTTAGGAACTAGTGACAGATTTCAGAGAATGGAAGAAAAGGTGAGTAGGGAATGTGTTTATTCATTAGTACAGTCACACAAATTGTATTTTACTTCCTTTTGGAATTACTATTGAACAACTAATTTTCTAAAAGCATTCAACAGTAGCACTCTTCTTAATCCAAAGCCTAATGTTTTGAACACTGGGAACTCCGCAAGTAAAACAGGGTGAACATTCCAGTAAGCATTAATTTACCTAGCAGGGAATGCAATTTCTTTTTCAAGTTTTTCTTTTCTCTGTGCCGAGGTAATCCATGGTATAAAGGCAGATTATGAATAGAATGCTGACAGATAAGAATTCTTGTCCAGAGGCAAATCCCCACCTCCTTACCATAGCTACCACTCCAATATCACTCCTTTACAAGTTTTATTAACTAATAAGGAAAATATTATAGAGCACAGCCACAAATAGACCACTGATAACTAGAATGATCCTTTAAATACACAAATTAAATTGCCTTATGAGCAATGGTTTATTTCAAAGGTCCATTTTAGCTACCACTCATGAAGATCCTAGTTTCTCCAGTCCAACTGGTAAAATTAGTTCTCTCCAGATAGATGAAAGCACATAGATGTGAAGGAATATAGTAATTCTGTCTTTTTGATTACTACCTACCAAGTACACACACACAAACAAAAGAAGAGACAAGTAGAGTATGTACACAGAATGATACACCTGATACTGCATATACAGCACTTCTGCTGCTGCCTTCAAAGTCCACAATGGACTTGCACCCAATCTTACAGAATACTTGCCTATACTTCCCTGTACAAGATACTGCATATAGCACAAATTAGGGTAAAGAGCATTAGATTAAAATTCAGAGCTGGCTGTTGAAATTTTGGTACATGGGTTCAATCTATGCTTCAAAAGAAACATGAATATCCAGTATAAAAATTCTAATTGCTTCATTCTGATCAAGTCACCAATAACTCTTCCATCATTCTTCAGCACACACACACTTTGAAGTTATGGCTACTTCCTTTCATTTCTCTAGAGTTTAGGTTCTTTTATTAGCTTTTAAGATGATTATTGGTAATCAGTAAAACATTAATGAATAACCACTTTGTATTTAAGCATACAAATAACACAGTAGAGAAATCTGTGCACCTACAGAGATCAGAGAATAAGCAAATTACACCTGGTTTTCTGCTTCTCCTTGTCTATTTCAAGTGCTGGAGGAAAGCAACAGTCCAGATGAGAAACATGCTTGTGAAGAGTGGAAATCACAGAGAAAGGAGTTTCTCTCCTCTGGCATGAAATTGTAACAGTATTCTATTAAAAGAGAAAAAGATTGTGCTCTGCACTGCAAGAACATGGGAGATAAGGGAATTACTTAAAGTCAGCTTCAACTTCCCCGGATTTAATACTCAGAGGTCATTGTATTGTTTTCAGCAAATACTGGACTTCACACATACATGCAGAGACTAAAATGCACTAATTAGAAACTTAGCAAGACATTAGGGAACTTACAGCTACATGGATGCAAGGTACCTCATTGAAACAAACAACAAAACAAAAGCTGAACATCCTTAGAAGAAGGAAATATTAAAAAAGGCTAACTTTCACCACAAATTTGAAAATCTGCTGTCTCATTTATTCTGCTTTTGATAAATTCACACTTTTAGGGACTTTAGGGAAAAAAAGTTTATGCCACAGAACTTTATTTGGCAAGTAGGAGTGCCAGGGATTTGCATCTCCAATGAAAGGCATCTTCAGGGAAGGGAAGGTGGATGGGACCAGTTTAATTTCATTTGCTAAGCACTCCGTTTCCATACCACAAACACTAGTGCTTGCTGACCAAGCCTTCGTGCTTCACAACTTAAAGACTTCACAATGTAAGATGTGCTTCAAATGGTGGAACAAATTCTAGGGTTCAGTGATTTGAACATGCCAAGAGTAGCATAGCCATGCCATGAACACAGAAACCAAACAGAAACAAAGACAATACAAGAAAGAATTCATAACTCAGGATGCAGGCTGATATAGGAAGTATAAAACAAAGAACTACTGGATCCTTCACAGAACTGGGACACTGTAAGAGCATATTCGGTTCAAAGGCTTGAGGCTCAACCAGTTAGAAGGCAGAAACAACAAACTTAGTTTAGTCACCATTAGACTCAGTTAATACACTCTGCCTTCTAATTAGCTACTGACATGAATAAAAACCCCTGGGACTTGATCCTGTAAGTGAGTGGGCTCTCTGCAGGTACAGCCAGCCACCTAAATAAATCTTATTACAGGATTAGGGCATAGAGATTTATGTGAGAAAACCAAACCAACCAACAATTAAAAAAACCTAAAACTGTATTTATTTAGAAACACTGCTCAGTTGTCAACTGTCATAGCTGCATTTTCAGAACAGATTTGAGTTAAACTAGCTGTATTAAGTTGGTTTTATTGCCTTCCCTGTACTAATAACATTCAGATAGCAATGGAAGTAAATGCTATTAGCCT